GCACTGCCGATTTTGGATCAAAATTTGGGATTTTTAGTGCGGCTTATGGTCGTGAAAATACGGTACTTCTGAAGAGATAGTGATGAAGTCAGGCAAGGAAGAAAAAGCAAGGCAGGTTGTTCTTATCATATTGTTCAATTTCAAACCTCTGCTTGGAATGCAGCTATAAATGCAATCAATATCCAACAGTGTCAAGACATGAAAGATTCATTAAAGCCTAAATAAAGAAAAAGCCTTTGCAGATATAGAGAACATTATAAAATATGTGCAATATGCTAACCTCAAGTTCTTGTGCATTTTTATTGGGATTATGGCCATCTGATGCTACAGGAACTGATTACGAAATAAACTTGCACCATTTCAGGCAACAAACCAGAGGTGGGTTCCTACCGGTTCGGACCAGTTCGGGCAAGTAGGCAGTAACTTGGCTGCCCACATCTCCGAACTGATTTTATCGGCAATCTTGTTTTTTGCTTCTGCGCATGTGCAGAAGCATTTTTTCACTACTTGTGCATGTAGTGTGCATCAAGTGCCCATGTGCCCGAAGTACATCCCTGAGTGAACCAGCAGTAAAAGAATCCAGAACCCACCCCTGCAACAAACTATGCATCCTGGAAAGTTTGATTTTCATACTGCTGGCTGCTTGTACTAAAGTGGGGCAGGAAGAAGAGACACCTAAGAGCTTTATTTTAGCCAGCTTGCTTGGCCTACAGGCACCTGTCAGTCCTAAAAAGACCCATTCAGGGTTATTTATTTCTGGATTCAAGCAGACTGTTTGGAAGCTATTTTACCAGTTGCTCAGAGTTCTCAAAATAGCCCTCAGCAGACTAACCATCTGTGGTCTTTGCAATGAAGTTCGCAACATTTTCCAGCTCTGAATGAATAACGAAAATGCACACAAATCATGGTTTCCCCCTTTGATGAATCAATTAAAACAGAGATTCTCAACTTCTGGCCCACAGCCCACTAGTAGGCTGTTTGCAACCGGGCTGCGGGAATGGCGGTTTAGTGCATATATGCACATCCCCACTTGCACATATAGCGGCCCAGCGTATCAGGGGTGGGTTGCTGCTGGTGTTACTGCCAGTTTGCAACTTATGCATTCTTCAATGTAAATTGTTCTGTGCCCATGCACAGAACTATTTACAGTGAACTGCGCACACACAGACACCAAAATTCAAAATGGCGGCGCCCAAGCAGCAGTGAGGAAACCAGCTCAGGGGCATGTCAGGCCTGTGTCGCTGGCGGTTCTGCGACCCACATCTGAATTCCACTACCAGTTTGGCTGAATCAGGCCAAACCAGCAGCAACCCACATCTGCAGCGTATGCACGCACACACTACTTACATGAGTGGCAGGTGTGCAAACACGCTGCTCATGCAAATGGAGCTGCACGCATGCGCGCACTTGCTAGTCACTTGCAAAGAACCATCTCCTCTCCACCTCTCCCACCAGTCCGCAAAGCTGGGAAGACTGGGGAATTCTGAATTAAAACATAGACCATTCATTTGCTGATTAAATGCCAAAAGCTTCCTTATGTATGGGCACAAACATACTGGTTAGGACAAGGAATGTATATCAATTTGTAAATGCCATTCATATTGTATATTTAAAACTATTTCAGAGAAAAGTTAAGCTAAAGCCTTAAAGTTTGAAAATACCAGAAACTAGAATCAAGCAGGATATTGGAATCAATATCTGTTTTCTTTCACCGCAAAGAAAAGTTGCTGTGTTATTTTGTGGCTATAGTTTTTCTGATAAAACCGGCTAGTATTTTTCTAATAAAATATATGCTTCTTCTGTCTTACAAAAGACATTAGCCCTGTTCATACAGAATAGTTGGCAGGGAGGTATGCTCGGAGATCGCTACCGGCTATTTGACTCCTCCTTTAACACGGCAGATAAAATAGTAGATTAACAGTACACATTTGCTCTTGAGTTTTCAAAAGTAAACTTGGCTTTGTTCAGCAACCTTATTACCAGACAAGTGCAAATGAGATTGCAGCTTCACAGACCATTGGCAATCAATTTTGGAAAGAATGCTAGGGTCCTGGATGAGCAAAATACATGCGGGGGGGGGGGGGGGAATACAAATAAGTGGCATGAATATTTAGAAGTATAAATGTAATAAAATGGATCTAGGCTAAAGCAACCAAAGATATATACATATTAGGAAATGTTCATCTATTTCATTTTACCTGTAGAAAAGAATAATGGAAACAAAATTACCCAAAATGAGCTAACACTGCATGATAAAATATGATAAAATAGTAGCAAAATGTTGATAAGCCCTTTCCACCCCAATATTACGAGTAGTGAAATCTCCAGGGCTGTGGATATTCATCCAGGGTTTGATTGAATGAAAGTCTGAATGGCTGAATAAAATTGTTCTGCAAATACACAAAATGAGCATACAATAGAGGCTCACACCACTATTAAATTGATTTCTCTTTTTTCTAGTAGACATTCTGTCTTCCAAACTCCAAGCAATTCCCTAGCTGTGACCTTTCTTCTGACTTAGTGACACAGCTGGTTAATTTTAGACCTCATTTGGACATTACGTTTATTACTTGGTAATGCATGGATAATAATATATAAAGTAATAGATGTATAGTAGTATAAATAAATATTAGAATGGAGTTTGGACTGCACAAATGCGCCACCTTTATCATCAATAAGGGGAAAATAGGGGGAAATCCTTCAAGTTGACAATATCAAGCACATTGAAGTCAAGAAGGTTAGAAGTTTTTCACATCATGAGTGTGAAAAAGATCTTAAAGTCCAAATTCAGTGGCGGAAATACCATCAAGGCAATTAACATCTGGGCAATTCCAGTCAATAGATACACTGCTGAAATAATGAACTAAAGCAGAACTAAAAGGAACCCCTGGAATGGTAGACCAGAAAAATAGTGACAATGACTCAGGCTGTTTCTCAGCAGCTTCACTAAAGGTTATGGAGACGGCTGCTTTTTGTACAATCTTCACATTCCGTATTGTCATATATGGAAAATGTTAACTTGTTTGTTGGTTTTACACAGCTCACCAGCCAATGTGTAGATGAAAGTCAGTAATTAAAACCTAGGATGAAGGACTCTTCATTTCTTACCTGGCTGATAGAAGTCTGGAGACAATTCTCTGGCCATCGACCTGGCTAACATGGATTCATTGTTAGCTGCTATAGCTGATTGTTCTGCACCTTCTGACTTGGCTTTGGCATGGGCAGTCCTGTGAACAGAACATCATTGTGGTATTTAGTATAGAGAGATACCATACAACAGGGATGGTTAACCTTTTTGGTGCCGAGTGCCCGAAGTGTGCGCGCACCCCCACAAATGCATGTGTGTGTGCCCCAATTCCCAAAATGCAATGCAAGTACCCCCCCATGCAGGTGCCCGCATTTCCTGCGGATTCCCCCCCCTTGTGCATGTCCCCCATTTTGACTTCTAGCAGGCGGCTTTTCAAGCCTAAAACAGGCATGGAGGGGGGACAGGACCCTTGCAATCTCCGCAGTTTCTCCCCAGCACACCCAGACTTCCCCCTCCATTCCTTCCTCCCATGCCTTCGCAGATTTGAGCTGTTTCTCCCCAGCGCGCCCAGGCTTTCTCCTCCATTCCTGCTTCCTGTGCCTTCCCCGATCTGCAGAGATTGGTGAAGGCCCTGTGGCAACAGAGATCCGAACACCAGCTGGCCCACATACATGTGCGGTGGAGCTGGGCTGGGCGACGGCTGGTGTGCCCGCAGAGAGGGCTCTGCGTGCCCCCTGTGGCACACGTGACATAGGTTCGCCATCACGGCTATAGAATGTGCCTACTACTCCTTTTGAAGTGGTCATTCTAACATGAACAGGGACTATTCCACGGCTTCAAGAAATGCATTGATAGCCAATTACTTTTTCTAGATTGTCTCATTTATTAACTATACATCTAAAATAATTGCTCCCAATACTTGCAATTTTTTTAAATCTTGAAAGACCTTTGCTACATGCTGTCCATCTTTACCTATTCTTGAATCAAAAACAAACTACCATTTTTTCTGTCAATGTTCTATACATATTGGAGGATGTTATCTTTGTTTTCTTAATATTCACTTTCCAATTTTACTTTCCCAATGTACTCTTTTAAATCTTCTTTACTTTCAGTTAACAAAGTATGTTGTTTATATACCAGATTTTTTAAAGCTCCAATTTTTATTCCAGCTGTTATTTCTTCCTCTCCTGCCATACTTACAATGACTGCTTTAGTAAACAGAATAAGAATGACAGAGTAAGAAAGTACGAAGGGACCTTGGAAATCTTCTAGTCCAACCTCCTGCTCAGGTAAATAAGTAAATTTTATAAACTTACAAACAAGCAAGACCAATCCATAGTTATCTTCACTACAAAATATATCTCAAGATTTATACAATATATGAAACATAATGCAAGAAGAGTCTTAATAGAACTGATAGTGGCCAATGAAATCTAGCATCCATACTGGCTAAATTGATTCACCTGAGAAGTTCACAAGCAGGATTTGAGGCAATGACCCTTGAATTCTGTTACTTGAAGAACTATTCAAAACCATTCTAGTTTTGACCTGGACATAATATTTAGCCATCACAGCAAAGAAAAAACAAGAAAGTCCACTTGCCTCCTGAAAATGCACCTCTAGGACGCAGCTAATTATCTTTTAAGGCCATCTGAATGACTTGCATCACTTCTTGTGACAGTGAATTCCACAAGTCAATTTTACATTACATGATAAAGCAAAACCTTCAAAAACATTTCTATGCCTAAACTCCAATTAAAGTTTTTTTAAAAAATAAAAACAACATAAAACTGTATGCCAATGGCACCCCATATCAAAAAGGCTCCTTGATAACCAGAATGATGGGGGTTTTTTTTGTGGTGCACAAATGCCAACGTGTAATGTGCCGTGTTTTGGAACTGAAACAATTATCTCAAAACCAGCAAAGGCGACTCGTCGGGAGCCAGTAGGAGAGCCACAATCCTCGGAGTATGACCCCCACCAAAATTGGCCAGTGGCTCTGGAGCTTCCACTGACGGATTTCACTAGTTCGGGTGGTGGTGGTTGTGCCAGCGGACCAGGGAGACCACCGCACACACCGACGGCAATATCCTCGGAGACAGGTGACCGCAATACATGGAGAAGCCCCAAATGCTCAGTGCTGTTGCTACCTCTCTTCTCTATGTCCTGGGATGGTGGGGGTCATACCGGTGGACCGGGGGAGCAGCGCACTCACCAGTAGCTGCAGTGGGGGAATAGCCGAAATGCCACATGGCGGCAAAAACCTTCACTGTGTCTACTCTTCTGTGAAGCTGTCAGATTCCAATATTGTTAAGAGGATCCAAGCTAAGAAGACTTCTGCTCACTCTGAATATCAGAGCAAAGTTTTTCACGTCTCTCTAGGCTAGACTGAGTCAAAAAACTGGGCTCAGATGAGCAGAGGCGGCGTGGCTTAAACTTTGACAACTCAGTCTCTGGTCAGAAAGACAGAAGTCAACCCATGATTGGATTCTCCTAGCAACACACTGGAGAATAATGGGTTTTGTGGGTTTTTTTGTGATGCACAAATGCCAACATGTAACATGCAGTGTTTTGGAACTGAAACAATTAGCTTTTTGGTTAACCCACTCAGAGATGCACAATATCCTTTGAAGGCAAGCCTATGTGGAAATATTTCCAGCATCCTGGTGTCCTGTTCAAAGCACTCTGTCTCCTTAAGTATTTGGAGACAACTTAGCTGATGAGATCAAAATTGGCAATTTTAAGCCTTGACAATACACAGAAGGCCTCCAAGAAGTTGTAAGTAGACAGAGGATCTCCTTTTTTGGAAGTGCATAATCAGTGTGATTAATTCTACTGTAGGCTGTGGGAGGCCTGGTGACATATTTATGTCTTTTTGGTGCTTGAAGAACTAGTGTTGGATGTAAAGTGCCCAGAGCATGCAGCACAAGATAATTAAAAACAATATCTTGTGTTGCCTTTTATTTCTTCAAAGGAAAACAGTAGAATAGATCACAGCAGGGCAAAATCAGCTATACTTGTCACTATTCTAGAAACAACTGGGCAAAAGCATACAGAATTTTAAACTTCTAAATACAAGTTCCAGTAAATTCTGATTGCAGACTAAGTATTTTTAGGTGGTTAAGAATCAGGAATGTAAAATCGTGTGATCACCGAACTGGTTGTTAAACCGGGAAGATCCCACCACTGGTTTAACCTCATATACAGTCTCTGAGTATACAGATGAGGGATATAGATACAATTTTTGGACTTCCATACAATGCTGGACTTCATAGACATCTACAATAATCTACCTTGGCAGAACACTCTCTCTTGGATGAAAGTAAATATAAGCTTCAACCATGATGATTAACATTTGTGTTAAATGAAATCGGTGCTTAACCAATGCTAAAAGTAAGGTGCAGTATTCTATAGTCTAGTCTCTGAATAAATATAATCATGAGCTCCTGAATCTGTTTCTGTTTTGGGGATCAAAGGTGTTTTGAATATTATTTGCAGAATGTTATGCGGGGACTGAATATATGGATCCCTGATTTTGAAATTGAGCTCTAATTAAATTCGTGCAAAGCGGGACAGCTGTTTGTGCCCAAATCACATAGCCCCATGGTAGCTCCAACAACGGCTCTTGACAAGGTGGCATTTTACCAGATCTAAAAATTTCTCTGGATTTATGGCTCCTATTTGAATAGCTATGGCCAGGAAAAAAGTTTTCCCCAATGCAAACATTTCTGGAACAGAATACTTTGGCAACAGCCACTAATTATCTTGCATTCAAATTACTGTAGTGTGCTTATTTGATGCTGTTTCTGAAGATTATTTGGAAAAGGAAATTGCTGCAACATGTAATACCCCATTGTCGGCATCAGAGAACTATTTTAGCTTTGCCTTGTGGACATTGCATTTCTCCCCCCCAAAGCTTAGTTCAAAGTGCTGAGAATCAGCTATAAAGTTCTCTATGGCCTTGGCTGTTTTTGGAATCATTTTCTTTGAGTAGAGCCTGTCCATTATTAGATTTACTGTATTAGATTTTATCCTCTCTTGATTCATAAGCAACTCAAGGTGGCAGACATACTAATACTCCTCCCTATTTCTCCCACTTTTACAATCTTGTGAGGTAGGTTGCCCAGAGTGTGTGTGACTGGCCAAAATCAGACAGCTTTCATGCCTAAGGAGGGACTAGAACTCACAGTCCCTTGGTTTCCAGGCCCGCACCTTCTCCTCTACACCAAACTGGCTCTCCTGAAAGTATCATCCTGTACTTTCAGTTCAGAAGAATGTTCCATTCCCTGACCGTTAGGAGGGAGGGAATTTGAAGGCAGCCTTTCTCAGTAGCCACTTCAACTCTATAGACAGTGATGGCAAACCTTTTTTGGCTCACGTGCCATAAGTGGGGGGAGCGCAGGAGGTGTCGTTTTAAGGGAGGTCGTTTTAAGCACTCCGAAGGGTTCAGGGACCTTCAGGAGGCTTCCCTGAAGCCTCCGGAGCAGTCAAAGCAACCCTCCGACCAAACCAGAAGTCCGTTCCTGAACTTCTGGTTTGCCCACGGGGCCGTTTTTTTGCGCTCTGGAGGCTTCAGGGAAGCTCATGAAGTCTCCGGAGGGGGCAGGGGAGGCTCTTTTTGCCCTCCCCAATCTCCTATAAAGCCTCTGGAGCCTGGGGAGGGTGAAAAACGGCTTTAAAAAAGGATGAACTCAGTTGGCCAGCGCGCACATGCGCGCTGGCCAGCTGACAGGGCAGCACCTCGCGTGCCCTGACAAATGGCTCCGCTTGCCACATGTGGCACGCGTGCCATAGGTTCGCAATCACTGCTATAGGACATCTTTCCCTGCTGATGTTAAGATGGCCCTATCAGAGGTGGTATTCAGCCGTTCTCTACAGTTCAGATGAACCAGTAGCAGCGGCTGTAGGAGGCTCCACTCACCTGCCCTGACGTAATGCGTGAGCACGACGTAGTATGTGCAAGCGAAGCGAGCGCATGCGTTCACATTTGCGAACCCGTAGGGAAGGTAAGTGAATCCCACCACTGGGCCCTAACCTTGTTCTCTTTTCAGAAAGAGGTTAAGGCCCTTCTTTTCCACCAGGCCTTTGGATTGTGAGGTTCCATGGCTGCTTCCTTCAGTATCCAGCTTTTCTTTTTCTTTGTATATTATGATTTTACTTTGGTTGTATGTTTTAAAATAATGTTTGGTATTATTTTCA